TATTGATTGCGTCGAATGCTGTTCCCCCCCCCCCCCCATATATTTGATCACATGTCTAAATTTTATAAAATTATGGTAACTATTTAATTCAAAATTAAAATGTTTAATACGTGTATGTAAATATATTGTAAATATACTTATAGCATACATTTTATAAAATTAGGTATTTAATTCAAAATTAATATGATAAATGTAACTTAATTAACAAATTTTGGTAAAATTTATGTCTAAATTTTATAAAATGGCAAAGATAATACTTAAAAAGTTGTACACTTTAATTTTAAATTATATAATTTAGACTAGATATTTTACAATATATTCACATATACATTTTAAAACACTTATTCAAGGGAGGGGGATGAACAGTGCCTGCAGAATCAATCTATAGATATTATAAACAGTAGTCAGTGGAGTTGATACAAAATTAGCAGAATCGATATACGCCCAAAAAAATACTATCAGGGTTTTTAAGTGATCAAATGTTTGTAAGACCCAGGTAAATAATGCAAGATTTAATGATGTGCGCAAAAAAGAAAAAGAAGCGACAGCCCTTCTAAACATAACATTTTATGGAATGAGATTTTTATAAGAGTCTTATTTTTTTCCTAGGTTATAATTAAATCGAACTTTTTCATATAGATTATTTAATTAAAAAACCAATGTAACACATTGACTACCAATAAATCCCAATGAGATCTCAGCTACAATATCTGTCCTCACCGTTTTGGGTTTTTTTGAGTGGTTTATTTTCTTAGGCAATTTTATAAAACGTTATATATATATATAACGTTTTATAAAATTTAAAATAACTACATACTAATGATAGTAGTTTTACAACATGAAAAATACGATGCATACCGATTTATGTAGGTTCAAATAAATTTGGTAAAAAAAATTAATGAAAAACAATATTTAATTATTGAACAAACGATTTATTTGGCAGAAATGAGTTTAAAAAGAAAGTGAAAGAAAAAAGTACGTCAGTGATCTAGTTCATTATATTACATTAATATAAAAAAAAAAACCTACAATAGTATATATAATCTCTGAACTACTCTTATGGGTCTCATTCTATAGAATTAAGATAAAAAAATGATTTTAAACATTATGATAGTTCCATCCACATAATTAAAACGTTTTGGTTTTTTTTTCGTGCATGCATGTGTATACTTACAAGTTTGTGTGCGTATAAGCGAGTGTGTGATGAGGTCTCGTAAAAAACTTTGACTCCGGTGACTCGAATATCTTAATCCAGGCTTGTATATATAATTTTATCTTAATTAGGTAGGTATCACGAAATAAAATAATTAAAATTCAGCGCTTATTTTACATATTTATCTAAACATTTTATATTTTTTTTTTTTTGACAAGATCTCTACTTAAAAGATTAAAAACGAAAAAAAAAATTACGGTCGTTGGTTATAAAAATCATGTTGGGTAGTGATTTATATTTCAAACATATAAAATTCACAAAAGAGTTTAATATCATTAATAAAATACATACGACACACTTTTAAAAACTATTATCTATATTAAAATTACTCATATCGAACGCAAATTGTAAAAAGTTATTAAAATTGAATAATAAAAAAATGTTGTACAGAGTTGTGATTTAATAGAGGGGGAAATTGACTATATATATATATATATAAATGGATTTTAATATATTTGTGATAAAAATACTAAAAAATACTGTACCGATTTTTACGTGGTTTATAGAAAAATGGTCCACGTCGACCGGAAATCTCTCGATAGCTCAATACGACCATTCCCAAAAACTGGATTATACCTAGGTATTTTTAATAAATTAATAACACGAATGAAAAAAAAACAATTATTAATTATTATTGCAATTATTTTTTTGGCACAAGTCAAATTTCATCTGGTTGTATTTTTTTAATTAAAAAACATATGATAGTGCGGTAATCAGGTAATCAATATTAACATTTAACCGTGGTAATTATAATATTAAAAATTCATTAAACTTATAACAAAGATAATTATACATTATAACGACCACATTATTTTCCACAAACTTCTATATGAGAATATTACAAACTATAATAGATAGATAAAATTATTAGATATATTTATTATTATTAATAATTAAAGAAGTCTGTGTTATATTTTTTTTACAGTTTTCTTAAACATGATTCACTAAACATAAAGTATACCCGTAAAGTGCACAGAATCGCATACCTAGTTATAATATACAACCTCATAGAGTGCACAAAAACCCATGGTATTAAGCAATAGCATCATCCCAACCACCTGAAATATTGCTTAACGGCGTTTCCAAGTTTTTGATGTAATTAATAATAAAAAAAATAAAAAAAGGCAATAGCATCAATAATCGTCGCCATTAAATATTAACGTTTATGGTAAGGCCGTACCTCTTCATGCATAACTTATTATTTTTTACCAAAAAAATGATTCTAATAAAGGGCGTCAGAGTACCGAGAAAAATATTTTAAAAAATATTTGAATTAAACTTCCCCTAAAAGTTCATCAAAGTTTAATTTGTGCCAAATATAGCACTATGTACACCAAAAGTTCGCTTTTGTCATGTTCGGCCATCATGCATTGAATATAATAAATAATACATGTTTTATTTGTGACATTTATTTATGCACTCAATACAATATATATTATACTCCATGATAATCATGCATAAGTTCAACGTTAAGTGTGGTATTTTTTTTCTGTAAACAATGATATTCATTTGAAATTTTTATTTGGACAAAATTGAGATTTGTGCACTTTTAGATTTATTTTTATTTTTTTTTAAATAGAATTATAACAAGCCGTTGTTATTTCATAATTACACATTATTATAAATAAAACAGTCACATCATTATAAAACATATTTTATTTTATAATTTTTTAGGATAAAAATAGTAGGTTCAGCAATTGTCAGAATGTTCCGAATTTGAACTTCTATTTAGGATACTTCTAATATAAATTAATTGGTGGTAAAAATTTGAAGGGTTAATTTTTAGAACTAAAAAAAAATAAAAAATAAAGTTTCTACATTTTTAACGCGTGTTGTGTCAAATATGACACATATTAACATAATTATGTTTTTGTTATATTTCAAAAAGTATTATATTTAGAAACACATATTTACTTTTAAAATAAAGCTGACAAAACTGATAATCACGATTTTATTATTTTTAATTTAAAAGTATCAATTTTCCGTTATGATAACATAAAATAAGTGATAACCACTAGGTGACAAAAATATTAGGAGCTATTTAATTTTTATCTATTACAATTTTCCTGCTAGACGAATTTACTTCAAAATTGTTTTTTTGTGCCCAATCTGGCCGTTTACGCAGTAACGTTTTAGCATTATCTTCAAAGCCAAAATTACAAAATACTGATTTTTGCCATGAAATATGCATTAAGAGGTTAAATATATGTTTACATCTAAACCTATATTCATATGAGAATCTGTAATACGATATGATTCTCGGACTATTTATTCAATCATCATGCGATTTTTTGAATTACGAAGAACGTTGCGGTGCAGTTATTGCGTAAAGTTCTAGAACCAACCCATAATACAAAGATACTCATCATCGTTTTTATAAAGATATAATCTATGTATATAATATAGTTATGTTGCCATGGATATCAATCTTTTTTTTTGTTACTCCGATATCAATAATTATAACAATTATTGTTAGCATTTCTCTCTTCTTAATTGTGCTCAACTACTTTTCATAATAAATATTTGTTGCAAAATGCACGAGGAAAAAATCAAACCTCGGTCGTTTGACAAAGAAAATACGCTATGCTTATCAAGAAACAATCATGCGCACGGGAATTATCAAAATACCAACAACATCAATAATTCAAACTGGTCCAAATTATATATAAAATTAAAATACCACTCACTAATCAGCATACAGCCAAAACTACCATACAGATTCATTTGATATTTTGAGAAAATGTACTCGTTGCTACTTATTAATAAGGATCAAAACAATATTGAGCTCCTTTGGGGTGGATGTACACATTTTTCCATTTTTTGGTTACCTGACATAATTTTTATTTTTTGTTTAACACATTGTTATTAATGATTTCCAATTAAGATAAATGTAAACTAATATAGCATTAATAAAAATTGTTTTAAATATTCCTACAGATAGACTTAAAAAATCTTTAATATTTAAATACAACATATAATAAAAACAGCCACACAAAAATGACTTATTTTATAGTAGTTACCAAGACGGTTTAACTGTTTAGTTAAATCTCAATGAGACTTTTGAAATAATATTAAAAAATAAATAGAAAATTAATAATATTACTTCACATTCTGTCAAGTATTTATAAACATACTATTAGTTTAATTATTGTACAATTAATTTAATTATCTTTTCTATCTATGAGCTATCAGCATAAAAAATACTACTTGATCCAAATGTCTTAGCAGTTTATTATTTTATGCCTCATAATTTCACATCAATTAATAATTTCCTTGACTTAAAATAAGAATTACTAAGATAGTAATTTTTAAGGTTTCATATTTTAAATAACCTTCTCAATATAAGTTGTAAACTTAATGCCCAATCATTATTAATGTAATGTTTTATTATAAAACACACATTCTATTATTTCAAAAATTCTAGAACAATTATATGTTCATTCTCAATACAAAGTACTAACACTGAAAATAACCATTTGATTAAAAAAAATATATACACTGTACAGTTAAATTCATTTTTGATACATATAATTTTTATTGAAGGTACTAACTACATATAAACAGATGATTAATACACCCATAGGTTACAAATTAAGAAAAGATATAAAGATGTAAATAATCATATTAAAAACATAATCATTTTTCCCGTATAATATTATTACATTTTCATTGAATTAAACATAAAAAATTATAAAAAAAAAAATTATTATAGGTAGGGAGGGGAGCGTATAATACATTTTCATTTTGTATAAAATAAATGTAAAAAAAAAAAATTAAACTCAAAAAATAAATTATTATAACCTGATTTAATAAACAAAATGAAACATTTTAACATTTACTCAGGAAAAAATAATGATATCTGTGATACTATTGAGTAAATGAAGGGTAAAAGGTTGAAGGCGAAAATGATACTTCTGTATGTTCACCATTCTCCCAAAGGGTAATGCTCATTAATGACTCAGGAAAAGTCATCAAATAGTAAATGCGGACAAGACATAAAGTCAGTTAGAGTTCCAGTAAGGAGTGCTTCCTCCTTGGCTATAGTTTTGTTTAACATTCTTAGTGGCAGTAGGATTTACCGATTGGTTGCGACTCATGTTGCTAGTTCCGTTAGTCAGTTCTTGCTATAATCAACAATTCAATAATTAATCCCAATATTTTATTAAATTTAATTTTTTTCTCTTTTACTTACTCCTTGCCTGTTTTGAACTCTCATGTCAATCTATCAAGAATAAATTTTAACTTCAAATTAATTTTAATTTTAAAATTTGGGTAAGCCAAAATAAATAAAAAATTATTTCAAACCTGATGGTGCAATGGTGCAATATGATGTGGCTGCGGATTACCCGGAGGCAATGGCGAAATAAATACTGGAGCATAGCTACCCCCACTATGATGACCACCGACTCCACCATTATTTAAAGTCACAGAGAATGGTGGTGGAGATTGAAATGATTGTTGTTGTTTGTCATAAGGCTAAAAGAAAAACCATTTAAACTTTAAATGTATGACTCTTCCATGATAAAACAATATTATAATATACTCACACTGACTTTGTTCAATGTTGACTTGCTGGAATACATAGCAGCGAGATCAGATGAATTTGTCTTGACCTGAGCTTGAGATGTCTGTTGACCGGAGACACCAACTTTGCTTGAACTCCCATAGTCATTGGTAGAACCAGTCACAGACGATGAACCCAGAGTTTCGTACACATTGTTGTAACCTGCAGGTGCAGTTGCAGTCTTATTGTATCCGGACATGGTATTGGTAGCTCCTGTGCCATGACTGGTCGCACTTGCTGCGGGCGCCATCTGATAACGAACCGCGTCGGTGTTTTTCAAATGTTTTTTCAGTGTTTCATTTTATTATTTATTTATTTTATATATTAAAATAAACATTCATACGAGTTTTTAACTGATATATTTTTTAACTTTTTTTGAATTAACTAACCCAAAAAGAAAAAAAATGATACATAGATGTAATATGTACTAAATATATATGTATATTTATATATATACACACACATATACACATAATATATAATATAAACATATATATGTATGTATATATAATGTACATATATTTTTAATGATTTTATGAAAAAGGATTGAACAAAATTGTATGCTCCCCAATCCCTGAGAAATTGTTGATTCTATTTATCTAATGCTAAGGAAAGGATGTCAAAATAAGTTTTAACTGGATTAAGTGATTTGGATGATTAAATTCATCAAGTATTTTGTTCGTCCGCTGTGTAGCAATAGATCTAACAAAAAGAAAAAAAGAAAAAATTACAGAAATATGCTTAAGAACCGAAGTTGTAGTAAAAATAATTGGTGATTTTATAATACACACCCTTATTTACATCTTAAATCTGTTTCTTAGAATTGAACCTTAAAATGTGTTAATACAAATATTAAGAAGTTAATAATAACTTATATTATAAGTAAATAGTGTAGGATTAGATTTATTAGATTTACTATATAAAATAAATATTACAAGAATATTATTATACTACAACATAATAAAAACTAACTATTTATGACTAAAAATCATAAAAATATGTAATTTAAAATGTTTTAAATTCAAAAATGTAGTTAATAATTAACAACTTAGATCTTATTGTTGTCATGCACATATACCAAATTAATATTAAATAAAACCCAATTACATTTTAACTGGGTAGAAAGCTGAGCGCAAATGAAACACATTTTAATAATGGATTTTAGTAATTAAAATTATTTTATAATTCACAGTAATATTTATAGTTAATAACAAATAAATATTAATATTTTAAATACATTTTATAACTCTAATTCACTTTATAAAAATGTCTATTAATAGAACATATAATTTATTAATTATTAATCTAGAGTCATTAAATTTAATAAGTTAGTAACTAAATGTTATTTCATATTTAATTAATATAAGATACAAGAAAAACATTAAAAATAATTATAAAAAAATTAAAATTAATAATATTTTATTTAATACCTTTTAAACTTTTAATAAAATTAATCTAATTCTTTGATTTTAAATATAAACACAAGGTTACATAAATCAATCAAAAATAAAATCAAAACATAGCATACAAATTGATTAATATTTAAATAAATTGGTTTCATTTCAAAATGCTACAAGTCACAATTTTAATTTTCTTGTTTTAAAGTAAAAAAATAGCACTTGTAGAAGTATGAATCAAAGGAAAATACTATTTGTGTCTTTGTGAGATATATTTTAGACATTAAAAAAAAAAAATTATATCAAAAACATAGTATAATATAAATTCTAGAACGCTGATATAAATATTAAAATAAGAACTATAATTATGATAAGTTGTTTAAAATAACACTAATTACAAAATACCTAAACACTTAAGATTGAGTTTTTTTGTACATTTTTATTTTTTAGGTGAACTATATACACTATAGACCAGGTGTGCCCAACCCACGGCCTGCATGTATATTCCAACCAGCTCATGACCATTTTATAAAAACTGGAAATTTGTTTAAGTATAAATAAAAATAAAAAATATTATTTTAATAAGTTTTAAAAATTACAAAGTATCTTACAATTTTTAATTTTAATATAAAAAAAATGTATTGAATTTAGGAATATTTAATAGAAATAAGTTAGTGCAAAATTTGGGCTTGTTTTTCTTTAACCAATCTTTCAATATTCGGAGTGAAATGTGTTACGCCAACTTTTAATTTTGAGTAGAAGTGTCCATCGATCAAACAAGATCTTTCTGAACATTTTACGAAATTCATGCGGAAAAAGATTTGATCACAAATATAAATAGAACCAAAAAATGTAAACATACACATTGATAATTCTTTTATATTTAAAAAATCATCAGGAAGGATCTTATAAAAATGTATTAAATGTGTGTTTTTATCTGCAATTTCTTTATATAAATCTTTCAAATGATTATTAGTTTTTAAATTAATAAATTCAAGTAACAGTTTTTTTACCTCGTTTTCATCAGACAGATATGGATTTTCAACTATACGAAATGAATCATATATGATTTGAAGTTCTTAAAATAGTTTCCAAATTTCATTGATAATAGATATTATCATACTAAACATAAATGTCTGCATTAATTTTTAAATTTATTAACCTAAATACCCCCTTCAAAAAAATAAAAATTATAATAAATATGTACCTTTACAATTGACATATTTGCCTTGATGTTTACTTTCATAATGTATTTTAATATTAAATTCCTTAAAAACTGCAATGGTTTTGTAGCATATCAAACACATAGCTTTATGATACTTGATAAAAAAAATAGGTGAGACTCCAATTATAATTGAAAACATGGCGTTCAGTATATGAGACTTTTATATGAGACTTCTTATTAATTAAAATTGAATTTATTATTTTTTGCAAACAAGAAATATGAACTTGCAGTTTCTAATGATGAAAACAAACTTTCGACTAGCATGAAAATATTTAGTACTTAAACACACACGATTAGTCATAAATTCGATAAGTGAACAAAGATAATAAATATATATATATCGTACATTTTATCAAAATGATAAAAAAAAAACCATAAGTATATACGACCCGCACATTATAAATATAAATTTCAAATGTAACCCGCAAGATGAAAAATGTTGGGCACACCTGCCATATACAGTGTTGTCATGAAGCATAACCCTGAAGGGCACAAGTTGAGACTCCCAATTTACAATATTATATTATTTCCAAAATAACATAGCTGAACTTTTTAATTTTTTTAAATAAAAGTTCATGTAATTTTAAAAATAAAAATTGTATTTTAAATTCTAAATTAAAAGTATTGCAAATGTTATTTATAAATATAAAATACCTTCTAAACTGTATTTTATTTTGTTAAAAATAGAATCTAACCTCCCAGTTATAGATACAATATATCAGTTAAAAATTGTGATTAATTATATAAATAAATTATTTATTGGGATAACTCTCCAATTTAGTCTAGATTCAAGTCTAGAGTCAATAAAAATACAAGTCGATAAAAACATTAATATATTATAATAAGTAATTTATATTATATTATTTTAATATAATTAAAAAACAGTAGCAGGATTTTATCATGAAAATATTTTTAAAAAAATTAAATTTTATCAAAATTTTAAGTTATAGAATTAAGTAATTCTAGAAGACACATAAGTTTCAAATCAGATAAATGAAAAAAAAAAAACATTTCCAAACACTGTAATTTCTTTCAGAATTTTTACTAATGATGATTACCTAACAGTAGAGAGATACTTTTATTTTCTAAGTTAAATTTAGTTAAAGAAGAACATAGAAATATTATGGGACAGAAACAGCTGCTTATCAATAATAAGTATCAAACATAAATTATTATCAAATTTAGATTGTGAAAATGATGAGACTGACAGTGAAAAAACTAGAAGGAACTTATTAAACAATATTTAAAATTTAAACATTTAAAATAATAAAATTAAACCAATTTTACATAATAAATTTTTTTATGAGTTAGTTATTTTAGTTTTTTTTTTTTATAAATTGCATTTATTTTTTTAAATAATAATTTATATGTAAACATTTATATATACAATTTCTTATTTTATCATATAATTTTTAATCTGTAGAGTAAATAATAAAAATAGATATTTTACTGAAGTATAGAACTTAATAACTATTAAAAAAATATACATCTCATAAATTTGAGATTTGAGTATTCTTATGAATCAGAACTATTTTGGGCCAAAGAACTCGCATGACTATTTAATTCCTATCAGTGGCGCACACAAAAATTTTTTTTGGGGGGGTACAACCCCTTAACCCCCCCTGCGAGCGCCACTGATACCTATATTATGTATGTTAAGCGGATTATGTTTTAACTTATAATTAAAAAAATTAATATTATTATTATTTATTATTAGATTAACAATACCCAACATTTAAAAGTAAAAAAATTGCCTACTCATCAGTATTAATTTGGAAAAAATATTTAATCTACATTTAATAAATCACTTCTCGCTTGGAACAATTTTTCTAATTAATTTAATTAAAACATACTCATCAATCATCACATAAATAAATTGAAGATTATACATTAATACGTTTCAAATGTATACATTGAATATCACAAATTAATTTGTACTGAACGACTTGCTAACTAATAAACACTTTTGTAATACTATTAAACAAAAACTGATTGTATACACACATACTTCCTTTTCCAACTATTGGCGAAGGAGCTTGAAACCCCTAATAGGTTAATAAAGAAGGGTGCAGAGATAGCATAAATGTGTTACTTTCTAATGAAAATCAGTTGGTATAATTCTCCTGATACTTTTAATACAACAAATAAAAAAAGTAATAAGCAGTTAAGCAATGAAATTTATAATCGATTTATTTAATAAAAACTTAAAAAAAACCATATTGCATTAATAAGTTTCTTTGAATATAATTTATAATATTATTTGTCTTAAAAAGTAGCAATATATTAACAAAAATGCGCCATGAAAAAAAAACTAACAAAATGAAAATAATATGTATTATTCAATTAATAAAACTTGTGTCATTTTTTAAATGTTAAGTCCAAAATAGAAATGTTTTTTTAGTATTATTTTATTTCTTAAGAAAATTGAAGTATGGTACATGAGTACTCCATAGTTAAATTTACCTAATTTACTAATTATTTAATTAACAAGTTTTATAAATCAAATTTAACATATTTTTTTAGCTTAGAAATTTTTTACACAGTACTTTTGTTAACATAAGTCAGAAAGATAAAATAAATTTATTAAAATACACTAATAAATTTTTATAGGCTTGAATTATAAAATTAATCTTTTTGACATTTACATAAAAAAAGTAAGAACTATTAGCTAGATGTTTCCTATGAATTTACTTAAATACTATTCAGAACAACTGTTTTGTTATTATAAGAATAAATTCTACATATTAAATTATTATTAATAACATAATTACATATAACAATTAAATTTATAATTCATATTTTCGAATGATAATAATGGAATTTATTGATGAAAATAAATTTATGCCTTTTATAATATTAGATAACCTAGATCTTTTAAATAATATTATTAGGCTTTAGTGTTAATTGATTCTCATAGCTTAACATTGGATTTATCAATTTCAATATTATATAATAATAATTCAACAATTTTTTATTAGTAATTATAATTTTTTTTGAAGAATAGTTAACTAAAATTAAAAAATCAATAAATTATAACATTATTATTCATAGATGTATTTTATATTACTCCAAAAAAATAGAACTATGAAGTATTAATAATAAAAATAGACAATTCCATTGAAATTTCAGTATAGGAGAGTGAATATTAATTTAAATTTAACAACAATTACCACATTTATAAATGATTTTAAACGATTAATCCAAAAATGATCAAAATTTTGCTAAAATCGAATTCTTGTTTACATTTCTTCATTACTTTTTTTTTGTTTTCTTTTAACCGTATTTGTACTTTCTTGAAGGTCACTAGGAAATTTAAAAAATTACCTATTTATTCCACAATCTAAGTTTGATTTAAAATCTATAATGGGTTCATGAAACTTTTAAAATAATTCCAATGTGCTTTTTTATTTAATACCCAATTAATTTTTTTGAATTAATAATAATGCAACATAATACCTTAATCATAGATTTTTCAAAAGGAAATATTCACTGGAAAAACTTATTCAAAATTAATTATAGAATTAACTAATGATCATTATGATATTAGATCATATTAATTTTGGTCAAAGAAAGCTTATAAATCATTAACATATATTTGTTGTTATAATTTAAAACATTCATGAAGAGTTACTTTAATTGAATTAAATAGACAAATAGTTAATAACTTATTTTATATTATGATAGATGTAATTCATTTAATGAATTGTTAATCCTCAAATTCATCATTTTTTTTCGATCATAATATAAGAAAGCAAAATATTGTTTTATACTAATTAAAACTAATTCTAAGAAAATAATTGTATTAAATAAATTGATTAATTAACTTACCGGGTACATAGTACCATACTGGAACGGATTAGCTGGTATCACAGACTGACCATAATAATATGTATAGCTGGGAGTAATAGGTGGATTTAACAATGTTTGTTGATGAGCCAACGCTCCAGTCTAAACAAATTAAACATTGAAGATAAATAAATAACTAAAAATTTAAGAAAATTTAATCAATACAATATATTTAATCTTGAAACTAAGATATGCCATTCAACATGTTAATATGATAAATTACCTGCTGTGATAATGTAGACTGAACTGGTGAGGCATTATCAGTACGTGCAAATCTTGAATCTGTAAGGGAGGAGTAACCTGCAACATTTGAAATACCAGTCCCAGCTGTTTCTCTTCCAGTCAGACTTGACGATACACTAGGATACATTTGATCAGGTGAATAAAAGTTAGTCTGAAAATTTAAAGTTTATAATTAGAATGGTTTTATTTCTTTTAGAAAATGATAAATTTTACCATATGATGAGGTAACCTTGATTGCACCATTTGTAAGTGTTCATCACTATACATTACAGGATGTGATTGATGATAATATCCTGGAATACCCTGCTGACTCAATATATACTGACCACTAACAATTGGACCAACACCAGGAGGTATGCCTGATAATACACCACTTTTATTGGCTTTTTATAAATAATATAAAACAAATTTAAATTAAATTGATTTAACTTCAATGAAAACCAAAAAAAATTAAATTAAATTTTTAAAAATTTACTTGTTGGTGTAGTAGTTTTAGAAGCTAATAATGTACTTTGTGTTAGTCCAATACTGGATGTTGTACCACCTACATTATTTCCAGCAGAATTACTAGCACTTGATGTAAGCGCATTACTGCTTGAAGATTGAGACTGTTCGTACTAATAATAAAGAATTATTTCACCAAATGTTTTATTTGATTATTATAAGACCAATAAAACTTACTATACTATCTTTAGTAGAATTTGTTGTGGATGTTAATGAAGCTGTTGATTTAGACAAGTTATTTGTATTCGCAGTTTGGTGTAGATTTTGATGTATATTATTATAATTTGAAAATGTTGAAGGTTGTGAGTACATTGATGCTATATTGGAAGCTGTAGGTATAGGATAGGACATTCCAGACGCCTGATATGAATGTCCCGGATTTTGGTAAGTATAAGATGGGAACGGAGCCTGTGCAGCAGTTTGAGGATAATTAGCATTTAAAATTGAATGATTAGACTGAGACAATTGAGGAATGTGAGGATTAGCGCTATTTACACCAATATTGGATGCAGTAGTACCATATAAACTTGAATGAGTAGATATACCCTAAACAAATACACCGAAAACCAAAAATTAACTTTTTTCAACTTTTTTTTGGTCATATTTTATATGTAACATAAATGCTTTAGTCTAATATTTAAAATATAAAAGATAATTATTTTTTGAGTTACATCAACTTGAGTCAACATATTAGCAAATAATAATAAAAATATGATGCCTGTGATGCCTCAGGATATTTATTTTGAGAACTATATATTAGTAGTACATACTTGTGGATTATTTGAATAAACTGAAGAGTTATACATAGATGTTGGTTGTCCAGCGTTTGCTGCATTTACATTTTGGTAAGGATTAACAGCAGCATTTTGTTTAGACAAGTAATCTGCAGGAGGAGGAACTCCGGGGGGAGGTCCAATTTTGGTTGAAGGCTGAGGTGCCTGATTTACTTGAGGTGGTCTTTGATTCTGTATAGCTGCCTGATTAGCCACTGCTGAATATTCAGTTTGAGCCAACACAGAATCTACTTTCTGAGCAACTGAGTCATCATATTTAACAACTGATGGTAATGCATTTTGATCTAGTGAAGGATCACAAAGTTGTGGTGCATCACTAGAAAGATCGACAGCACCAAATGAAACATCTAAGAAGTTAATATTAACACTTGAATCATCAGGTGGCATTTCTACAGCACTTAATGGGATTTTAGATGGGGGAGGTATACGAGCCCGTAAGGTTGGTTTCTTTCCAGGACCCATTGAATTTTCTTCAAATGGCGAAGAAACAAACTCCACTAAAAACAATTAATTATTTAAATTAAATTAAATTTTTAAATGTATAAAATTTAAGTACCTGGAGGATGAGAATTAAATGTTGTAGAAGCAACTGGAGGTTGAGTAACTACTTTTTTCAATTGACTTTCTTGGGTCAATGATGAAAGATACTGCGACTGTTCTGGAGTAAGAGTTTTACTATTAGCAATAGAAACTAACTTTTCTGCAGTCGTATTCTAACAACAAAGGAATATAATTAATTACATAAACACAAACTTTTTTAATAATTAATCATTTACATTTGCAGCTTGTTGGTTAGGAGATTGTACAGCATCGTTCCAATCTTCTACTTCCAAATAGGCATTTTCTTTTGGTTTAGACTCATCAACATCATTGTTTACAGTACTCTCAGCACCACCACTAGGTGTAAATACTTTAGTATCAGCTAATGAACCTGTGTACTCTTCATTGTCCCAGTCTTCAGGAGATGGAAATGTATCCCAATTTTCTAACAATACAATACATTTAATTAAAATCAAAATTAAACAACTTATGCACTAAGAATGGTCCTCCAGACTAGGGGTTTCTGCGTTGGGCCAACCACCCATCCAGTGGAAAAAATCTCTCGGTTAAGAAACTTCAAAAAAAGCCTCGGACATTGTATACAAAGGACTCCCAAACTAAACATGGAAACAGGAACAAAATCAGGAATTTAAGGTTTGGCACATGGAGTATCAGAACACTTTACAAATCAGGGTCAATGAACGTAGTTATTAATGAGATAACTAAATATAATTTAAACATCATGGCTTTACAAGAAATGAGATAGCCAGGAAATGGTAGTCTCAAACATAAAGAGACAACAATCTTCTATAGCGGATGCAATAGACATGCATTTGGAGTTGGATTTATGATAAATAATAGACTATTAGAGAATGTTAAACATTTTGAAGCTATAAATGAGCGTATATGCTATTTACGCTTGAAAATAAAGAAGCACATTGAAACAATATTTAGCTGTCACGCACCGACTGAAGAAAAAGATGGAGATTGGGAGACATGAATGCAAAAATTGAATGGGAAAATATATATAGACCTACTATTGGTAAGGACAGTCTTCATAGTATGTCCAATGATAATAAAGCTCGTCTCATACATTTTGCGATGTCTAATGGAATCATCATAAGCAGCATTTATTTCCAGAGAAAGGATATATACAAGCAAACATGGATACCTCACGACGTGGCAATCAAAAATCAAATCGATCATATAATAATAGATAATAAACACCGTTCATGGTTCAGCAATGTTAAAAGCCACAGAGGAGCAGACGCAGATACCGACCATTACTTAGTTTATATAGCAACTCTTAGTAAAAAGCTATCAATTCTTTGGAAAGAGAATAAAAATAGGAAGAGTACAAATTTGTTAAATGTAGATAGACTTAGAAACCCTTTGGAAATAGCACAGTATAGGAAAAGAATCATTGAAGAACTCTATACTGTAAACGAAAAGGAGGAAAATATAATCTCTAATTACAAAACTAAATGGACAAATATCAAAAACGTTATTACCTCGGCTGCAAAAAATCTCAAAGAAAAACCTTATCACAATAAGAAAAAGCACTGGTTCAATAATGAGTGTATGGAAGCAGTAAAAAAGCGTAATGAGACTCGCATGCAAATGATACACAACCCATCACAAGAAAACCAAGAGAGACATAAACATTTTAAAGAGTTGATAAACAAGACAATTAGAAGACAAAAAAAAGACTATATGAGAAGAAAGCACTCGAAGAACTTGAGGGAGAGAGGAACAACCTGAGGAATTTCTTTAAACACTGCAAATTACTCAAACAGGGTTTTAAACCACAAACACTTTTCTTAAAAAATAATCAGAATGATCTCATTTCGGAACTGAGATAAATCGTACAGCATTTCAGAAAACATTTTGATACACTACTTAATGCGAGTTAAACAAATAACAGTAACAAAACCAAGTATAAAGAACTGACTTATTAAAGAGCCATACTAGAATGCAAGGAGCCTGATCTTACAGAGATAGAGTATATTATCACTAACCTTAAAAATAATGAAGCTCCAGGAGAAGATGACATAAACTCTGAATTACTCAAAACAGCAGAAAAAGACTTAATTATAGAGCTACAATCCTTAATTCGAAAAATATGGCACAAGGAACAGATTCCAACGGATTGAAAAACCGGGATAATTTGTCCAATATTCAAAAAAGGAGACACTGGTATAGTATCAAACTACCATGGAATTTCCTTGTTAGATACAGATAACAAAATTTTACTGATGACGTTGCTAAGATTAGTAATATATGCGGAAAACATCTTCACAGATTATCAAACTGGTTTCAGAAGAAGAAAATCTACGACAGATCATATATTCACAATAAGACAAGTAATGGAAAAATTCTACTCTGATAATGAAGACCTTCATATACTTTTTGTAGATTTCAAACAAGCATATGACAGTATTGACCTTGAACAACTCTGGATAATATTAAGAAATTTTGGTACACCAAAGAAATTGGTGAAACTAGTTGAGATCTGTAACTAACAGACATACTGCAAAGTGTGTTTTATGGAGACCTCTGAAGCATTTGAATGCAACTTATGCAACCGGCTTAAGACAGGGAGACACACTATTTCCGGTTCTATTCAATCTTGTTTTGAACCAAGTGATAAAGGATATGCATGAAAAACAAGAAATGGAATTGATTGAAATAAATACTCTTCTAGCATATGCAGATGATTTAGTCATTTTAGGACTATATTTCTATATTTTTGATAAATACAGAAGAATTAGAAAAAGCTAACCATCAAACTATTTTTAAACTTTTTGATAAATCCATGAATTTGTTATGGCCACAAGGCGTTCAACATGATAGCGGCTTGTTATTTATGTCGGATGCTGCACCGTACATGGTGAAATCAGGAAAGGCAATTCAAGCACTTTACTCAAAGATGGTGCATGTAACATGTATAGTACATGGATTTCATCGAGTGGCCGAAGAAGTATGTTCGAATTTTAACACAGTTGACGAACTTATATCAAGTGTAAAAAAAGTATTTTTGAAAGCACCATCTTGAACTCGTATATTTAAAAATGAAGCTCCTGACATCTCAATGCCACCACAACCGATTTTAACTCGTTGGGGAACATGGTTGGATGCGGCTAAATAATATTGTGAGAATTATGAAGTAATAAAAAATATTTTTAATAAGTTAGATGAAAATGACGCGAGCAGCATAAAAAAATCCTCAGTTTTTTTTTTTAACAACCCAGATTTGAAAGCAAACTTGGCATTTATTTCTTCAAACTATAATTTTCTTTTGATTTATATTACACGTTTGGAAAAACAAAACATAACGCTCTCTGAATCTATTTCCGTCGTAAAAACTGTTAAGGAAATATTACAAAGTCCACAAGGAGAAAAAGGAAAGGCTATTTACAAAAAATTGGAAAATATTCTGTCAAAAAATGAAGGATTTAAAATTATTGAAAAAATTTCCAATATTTTAGAAGGAATAGACAGTTCTATGGAAAATATTGAAAACTTGCAAGTCAACGATTTATAGTTCTATAAATTCACTCCACTAACATCTGTTGATGTCGAGCGTTCATTTTCAAGATACAAAAATTTACTGGCGAATAATCGCCGGTCATTTATGTTTGAAAATATAAAATAAATTTTAGTGACGCAGTGCAATTAATTTCGGTAAGGTTTAAAAAATTGTTAAATCATTAAAACAATATGCATTTATAATTGAAATTTTTGTATTTTTTTTCTCTTTAAAGGCAAGCATAAAGAAAAAATGAAGTATAAGTGTACCTTTATAAATTTGTAATTTCTTTACGTTTTCTACGAAAAATAAAAAAATATTTTAGAGCATATTTTAGCATTTTTGTAAATTTTAATAGAATATATGATAATTTTTAAGGGCATATATGCATGCATATTTTAAGGTTTTTAAGGGCATGAAGTCCCTAGCCCTAGTGATGGCTAACAAATGCAATTACGCAATGAAAGAGATGTTCACGTCGAAATTACTGTCGCAACGAACAAAGGAAAGGTTATACATAACTTATTTGCGTCCAACAGCAATGTACACATCTTTGAAAGAAAAATACTAAAGAGAATCTATGGTCCCATGTTTAATGTTGACCTAGGAGTTCTCGAAAGAAGGAAAAATAAAGATTTACAAAGACTTTAAAATAAATCGAACATCTGTAAATTTCTTAGTAGCAAAAGACTAGAATGGACTGGACATATGTGACGTACAGAAGGATGTCTTATAACAAAAGTGCTCGATGAAAATCTGAATGGAAAAAGACCCATAGGGAGACCACATCAAAGATAGTTCGATACTGTGAAGAAAGATCTGACATAAGTGGATCCTACCTATAACATCAATTTGGCAGAAGATAGAATGCAATGGAGAGATATTGTAGAAGCGGCATTAGACCTTAATGATTTGTTTCAAGCCTAAGAAGAACAAAAATTATACTATAACAAATAATAATTTACATTCATTTAAATAAAAATGTTATGAAATTAACTAAAAATGGGTCTTATAACTATAAAAATTTAGAATTTAAACAGCTTTAAAGTAAAAATATAGACATCAAATCAATTTTAATTTACTATCTGGAATTTGTGTAGCTCAGAAAAAGTCTGAAGGTCCTGCCTTAAAAATTTTACTACCTTCATGTTATTTAACAATTTAGATAAAGAAAATTTTACATTTAAAGTAAAACATTCTTGTTGATATGTTTATTTCTAAGTTGGAATAACCAGAAAAAAATGGATGGACCTAGAATTATTATTTTTATTATCAATAATAATTATCAATCTTATTAATAATAAAATATTCATGAAAAATTCAGAATTAAAATTGTACTTAAACTATAACAACAGTCAACAAATTACAAGTCTGGATACTTAGTATCAACTACAAAAAAATGTTCAGTCATGTGTATGATATCCAATGAAATTATACAAGGAACAACCATTTATGGATGCTAACAAAGAAAATATAAATGCTTTAGTTATACAAAAATAAACCCTAGTAAAAACTTTATTCATTCAAAAATATAGATCCCATAATTTATCAATTGACACATGACAGAAAATAACAAAACCAAAGTATAACAAAATAACACATCTAAACCAGTGTAATGTAAGATATTCATTATAAGCATGCCACAGTGTGTCATGATTATTAATAATAAAATACAAAAAATGTCAATAAGATAAAGTTTTTTTTTTTTTTTGGATACATCTGCAATGGATTAGGTGAGAAATCTTAATTCTAATTCTTCGTCAACTCTGTTTAAGTGTGCATTATTTACTACAAAAAGAGCAAGTGAATTGACCAATATTAAAAATTATTAATGAATAAAATACATATATATATATATATATATAAATCAATGTCAAGTGTCTCATGGCTAGGTTGGGATTAGTGTTCTGTGAAGCAATTCCTAATAATTTTTAGAAAATAGTTTACTAGGTAAGATAGAATTAGAATATTGATAATTATAAAAAGTATGCAAAAAAAAAAAAAATAAATAACCTAAGATAATTAAAAACTAAATTAGTAGCTTTAGTACCTTTCTTTAATTCTTTAGCAGTAGGATTAAACCAAGTATCAATTGGTTGACTGAATCCGCTATTATTGCCACCTCCCGGTCCAGAGTTTCCACGTTCACTATTTTGGAACATACGAGTGCCTCTAGAACGACCATTGTAACGCGGTCCATTCATACCTCTTCTTGAACCTCGGCTATCAGAACGGAAATTACGATTCTCACCACTAGCACCATCTTCAGCTAAATTCTTTTCATTTTCTTTATTATCACGTTCTCTCCCTATAAATAAAAAATGAAATAAATGTATCCAATAAAATTAAATTAAATACACTAACATTTACGAGATTCTCCAAATCGCTGACCTTCAGACGGTCTTGGTCTGTTACTATAACCTCCTCGTCCTCCACGGCCACGACCACGTCGTTCACTAAATCCACCATTATTTTGAGTAGTATTGTTCACAACAGGTGTAATGGTTTCATCCCATTCAACATCTAATTAAATAAATTTTAGATAAATGTTATGAAACAAATTTAAACTCAAAATTATTGCAGTAGAAAATGTACTAACCACCACCATCTGTTTCACCATTTTTTACCAATTCTTCTTTTTCTTTTTTATTCACACTATTGGCTCTGTTTTTCTTTTTTTTGCCAGTGGTGGACCAAGATTCCTGAAAAAAAAAAAATATATATATATATATGTGTGTATATATAACTGGTTACATTGGTGCCTAAGATAAAAACTAAACATAGACAAACACATATCAAAATTTAAACATACAAGGGGTCCTTCCAAAATAGCTTCAACAGTTAATGTCACATCTAAACCATTGTCATGAAGTGCAATAACTGCTTCATCTTCAGTTTTTTGGGTTATTGTCATCACCTAAAAATAATAAAACAATTTAATAAAATAAAAGCCAAATTACATTTAAAATATAATTAACAAACCTGTGTAACTTTTTCTCTCATTATTTCTTCATCAGGTCTTGGATCAGTAATTTTTGCAATTCTTAGCTGCTCAGGAGTTGGCTAAAATAAAACCGTACTTTTATAAATTTAGAATTAAACATTAATTTAGTATTAGATCATAATTATACATTTATAATTAAAATATAAATAAAAAATTAAATAAAGCTTGGGTGAAAAACAAGGATGGATGAATGATATTGCTGTATTGATATTTTAACAAGTTCACTACGATATACTATAGCGGACATACCAATTTTTTCACAGTATGCCTGTATATATTTGGCAGTAGGCAATAAACGCTTAGGTTTTTAAATGGTGCTTTTGTCACATATAGCCAACATTATATCTATCAAATTAAATGTGCTCTGAAATGGTGACATACAGTAATGGAGTTTTGATTTTTACACACACATTTTTATACAAAAATTATTTTAATTTTAGTTTACTCCATTTTTAGTTAACTATTTTTGTTGGTTTTTTTCTATAAAACATTACATTGTGTATTTTATTTTATCATTTAAATATATATAATTATTGGATTATTCTAAACAATTTTTTCATATGGTCAAGTAAATAAGGACTTTGTGTGTACTGATGCTTCAAAAATCACCACCAATATATAATATTGCAATTCGAAATATTAAAATTGGGTATATTTAAGTGAAAAAAATTTATATTTTATTTTAAATTTTAATAAATGTTATGTAAAGGAAAATAAAAATAAAAATATTTTAATGAAAGGTATAAATATTGTTTTGTTGCAAAATATTAATAACCAAGTAAACAAAAGCTGTCTGATATCGTGGATAGACACCACTAAAAATAATCATATAGAATTATATCACAGTGCACCTGTCAGTGACATTCGATACTCATTTAAATATTCAAATTCACTGATAAAATCATTTTTCCTTATTCTATATGTATAATAATATATTTTTATAAACAAAATAAAAAAAAGGTTGCCGCTCCTAACGAAATATCATATGTATTACAATGTTAAGAACACGTTTCCATAAATTTCTTGTTGCAGCGAATGTATTAAACTTAAAATCAATGGAATCATTCATCATGAAAAAAAATAATTCAAGTGAAAAAGGTAGAGTAGATCAGTTAAAAATTTTTACTTAGAGCATTGTTTGGATGATTATGACTGATTTTCAACATGTACAATACATTTACTGATTAGTTGTTGTTGTTTAGTATTGCCAGCCATTAGCAATGATGGTTACAAGCACAAAGGGTTTATTGATGTACAAATCATATTAAAAAATACATTGCAGCTGTTGTAACAATAACATACCTCTTTCTAAAATTATATTAAAATATTGGGTGCATAATTTAAACTAAAAAATATTATTTTGGATTAGTATTCATAAAATGGAATAGAATACAAGAGCTTTATAAACTTGAATTATAACAGTAAATTTTTTAACCACAAAATTTTAATTATATATATTATTATTAATTTTAAAATAATTAAAATCTCAATTCAATTGTTAATAATTAAAATTAGATAACAATATTACAATGACCATATTTATATAATTTAAGAAATACGCGTCTTTAATTTAGATTGAGAGTATAAATAACTATAAACCCAAAAAAGGGTATTTAATTTACTTATCATACTTTCATTTGCAATCACAAACTAAACATAAATCAAATATAATTTATTTTGTTATTTTGGAAATAATAAAATTTACATTTATATTAAGATAAACTTTAATGAAATAAATAACCCCAATTACTACAATAATTAATAACTTGTATTGATAAGAAAAATATAATATTAATATCATTTTTATCAACTTCAATTCATTAATATACAAATAAATAAACAAATAGATCATATCTAGAAATAAATAAATGCTTATTAGGCTTGAATATTATAATATTAGTAAAATACAAATTTTATAATACTCCAGTTTAAGCATTTATTTATTTATTTCTATATACAAACTATTTGTTTATTTAATTATATATTAATTTACGAGTATTAACCATTTACTAATTTTGACTTTAATTATTATTATTTTACTATTTATTTCATTATTAAATATATGATAGAAAAAATATTTTATAATTAATTCATCAAGTTTTTAAGCTTTTTAAAGAGTGCTTCAATAATTATATTCATCAAAAGTAATTTTGGTAATTTATTAATTCCGATAACAAATTAATAATATAATGTATAAATTAAATATAATACAAGGTTATAATGAAATATTTGAATATTTTTATGTAGGTATAGTAGGTATACAGTTTGAAAGTGGATTATATAATTTAAACGCATATATATACACAGATAACACTAAAATATAGGTAATCATTAATACAGCTAAAATTGAATAATGTAAACCATCTAATAATTAAATGTAAAATATAAAAATGTTTCTACAATACCTATAACCCAAAAATATTGAAATTTTTACTCTACCTGCAATTTTTCTGTATCTTTGGTTTCAGCGATCTGTGCTGCTGCATTTGTGTTACTGTTTTTTCCTGACGTCTTGGCATTGCGATTCGCATTACCTTTAGCGCCACTCATTTTGATAAGATTTTTTTTTCAAATACTTCACCTGTTCCTTATATACAACGGTATTTACAAGGGAATCTGAAATAATAAAATATAAAATATGCACTCAAAACACAATTGTTCATCATTCACTGCATAGAAGCCAGGGGGGGGATCAAGGGAAACAATAAAAAAATGTCAAATGGTAGCATAAGATACACGACCCACAAAATACAAAGCATTAAAGCGATATTTTACTTAAGTTACCTCACAGTGAGGCACAACCTTTGGAGAAAATTTGAGCAAATAAGACGCCACTGACCGCCACCGAATCACACGCATAAGCAAGACAGAATAAGAAAAATGAATGTAAATCAACAGCAGCAACCACAGGCGATTAGAAAACAATAACAACACTAAAAAGCAATATGTGATGGGAAGCAACACGAACAACCCGAGAGTACCGAAAGACAAGACACTCTCGCGGTAAACACACACGTCCAAAAATAATTTCTCGAGTATATATACGTGTGGACTATACCGGTGTTGTCGACACAGGGGTAAAAGTGGTGGTGATAATGGTGGTGGTAGTGATGGTGTCGGCAGTGGTGGTGGTGTCGGCGATAGCGGAGGGACACGCGCTAAGGGAGCATATGTACGCGGTTTGGCGCGATAATCGACAGATCCCGATTTATCGGGACAAAAATAGCGAACAAAACGGGACGACGGCCGCGGAAAGCGTGGAGGGGAGCTAAGGTGGTCGTTATGCCGCTCGCGCCGGAGACTGTAACAATGACGCCATTCCGACAGCGAAACCGGCAGATTTTCACGGATGCACGACGGCCAAGACATGCGAACCCGGACAAGCCGTGAATGTCGCCGCCGTAGCAGCGGTTGCTCGTTGTCGTTTTCGCCGCCGCTAGCAACGGGACGACGACAACGATTATTATCACGTTTCTGCGTTGTCGGAGAGGAAAAAAAATATTGGAAAAAAATAAATAATACGTGCGAAACACACGACGCGCGCGATTACTTACCAGAACACGATACACATTTAAAAACTAAACACGGATCGCGATCGACGAGTTTAACCTTATAGTATCAGACTAACATTATATTTCTGTACACTAAAAGTAAATAATGAAATAAAAATACACTGGCTTCGTATGTGTGTGAGTGTGTCAGCGACGCGCGCTCATGTACGTGCGTGCGCGTGCGTGAGTACCGACTGACTTTGCGCGCGTGCGTGTGTTCCTGTGAGCGTGGGTCGGCTATGTACGTGCGTGCCCGCGCGCGGGTAGAACGAGACGGACCGAACAGTTCCGTCGTCGAGCCGACAGTGACACGACGACGTGCGCGGTGGGCGGTGGGTGTATGCGGCTTGTCGTGGAGGAGAAACTGTGTCCGCGCGCCGTTTCTTTCACCCATGACACGCGCGTTCCGCACGGACCCGCACACAACACACCGTCGTGTTGTTGTTGCGGCAGTAACGCGTTAAAAATAATTATAATACTGCCGTCGTATGTAAATATAAATAAATAAATGCTTAGCCTGGAGTATATAAATTAATATCCGCGTTAACGCAACTATATAAGTAACGATTTTGATTGTAAATCTATGTACATAACGTAGTTCAATATCAAATACCATAGCAGGGGCGAGTTTCATCATTAACCAAGGGAGGGGCTAATGGAGGTTTAAGAATTTAGTTAGTTGGTTCTTTAAATCTATATAAAATTTTATATTACAGAATATGTTTTTGAGTCCTTTATAAGTAAGTAATTTTTTTCACAAAATGACAAAGTTTAATTAGTTACATTATTGGTATCAATTTTAATCTGAAACCATTTTAAAATATAGGTAAATACATAAAATTAACAACAGAAATGAGCTATTTATTTATAAAAAAAATATATAAAATATGTACCATATTCATCAATGACCATTGACGATATTTTATTATAATTATTAATATATAATAATACTTTGCTTTGTAAAATAGATAGCTTATTCCCAAGGGGGAGGGGGGATAATGCCTTCTTAGTCACCCCCTTAAACCCGCCCGTGTACCATAGCTGCTAAGAAAAACACCTGAGAAAATAAAACCATGATATCCATGATAGCCATATACTAATATAATTGGTAAACAGTGAAAAATTATTGCAGTTCTGCTCTAGAGTCAAGAACTCGTGAAAATCGACTTTCTTGGAAAAATATTTTTATTATTAAATAATTATAATTATTAAGAAACATACTTGCTTAAAGTGTATATAACATACATAAAATATTATAAACTAATTACGAATTACTAAAAATAATATAATAATTTCTAAAATCTAATTACTTAAGTCTAATTAATACACTAATATTTATTTTGTTGATCTGGGCATTGTTGAAGTGCACGTGGCCTAAAAATAAATTCTAACATGATCGACTCTGAAATCGTCCGCGATCAACCGTTTGGCCGCCCTTGTGGTAGACTAATACATATTATTGTCTATTCTATAATTATGATAAGACTAAATTGGGTGTTTATTTCACAAATCATTTTTTTATGTTTTTATTTATTGTTTTATATTTAATAACTGATTATTAATAAAATTTAAATTGTTCATACCAATAGCCAATAGGCAATAGTTTATTATCATGAGGAAATAATGTACTTACAAATATTGTGTATTATTTAGACCAGGAACTGAGCAATTCAAAACAAAAGTTCTTTGTATCAACGGCAATCGCTATTAATTTTAACTAGATACTAATACTAAGTAATCATGACAAATTAACAGAGCAAATAATAAAGAATAAAATAATAAAAAATGTAATTAAAATTTAAAATTAGTAAATGATTAATACTCGTAAATTAATATAATAAAGGTCCACTTCTGTAGAAGTAATGATAAAATTGAGTACAAAACAGAATTTGTCGTGAGTGCCGTACTTGTTGTATCTGTAAATATCATAAATTGAAAATAAATAACACAACTACGAACTTCTCTTAATTGATTGAAAATAATTTAGACATGGCCACTGATTCAGACTAAAATTTAGGTAACTTGAATCTGAGAGCACGGCAGTGCGCCGGCCAAGTTCCAGCAATGCCAGTGTATCTTTACACAAACCAATTCGCCCGGTTATTTTAACCGATATATCTTGTGTTTCTTCTTATATTTTTTCACTATTTATTATCATTATAGTTTCAACTAATATTAAATTATTTTATAACTTTAGTTTTTTTTACCATAACACACTTATTCAAACAAAAAAAACTTTTTTTATATATTTTTGTAGCCTTAATATTTAATTATTTGGATTTTAATAGAAGGACAAAACGCTTCAAAAACAATATTTAAATGTTTAATTTTTAATCCAAAATCTATATAAAATATTGGAATACAATAACATAAACCTAGTTAATGTTTGATGTCAAATCAGCATGAATTGAACTACACACAATACTTTCTAAGTTGTACATATGTACTTAGTATATTATTCAGATAATGAATAATAACAAAATATTTAAACATAGAACGGTATAATAGACTTAAACTATAAGTAATCTAAAATCTAAAATTGGTAATTTTTACTAGGACTTTAGCTGAACCCGTAATATAATATACAGTGGTTTATATAATAATTATTTCTACAATCTATACATGATATAACTATATTTATTATTTAATAGAGTAAACAATTGAGTTAATACAGCCTAAGAGCCCGGCGTTCTAATGACATTTGATAAAGTCTAAACAAAAAATTACATCAGAAATGCATCGCCATTAAAACACAAAAGCTTCAACTACTAAGAAATTTAAAATATATATGTAAACTATAAAAAATAACTTTTAAGAATTTATTTGTATTTGTAACTAATAGGAATTTAAACCCATTTTTTAGGTAAATAAAATAAAAAAATAATCATAAAAATTGAATAGGTTGTTTCATAACTTAAATTTATATTTTATAAATGATTTTATTTAATATTCTAATTTAACATTTTTTGAAATTTCTGATTCGGTTTAAAGGTATTTTATTATTCAGTAAAAATTGGTTTGTATTAATACCTAGTATGTTATTGAAAATGATTGATTACACCCTACGAGCTATATTTACTACTTGCTCAGTTGCTCTCTGACTAGACTAAAGCTTATAATTTTTTTAAGAAATAAATCAAACATCAAACTTATTGTTTATTAAAAATTTTTGCCATGAGTTGAATAATAAAGTCTTTGCAAAAACTTTCACTATTTCAATATGAGAATCTATGAGCAAGTATATTATAATAATATATTGATATACCCAAAAATATTAATAGATAATTTTTTCAAAAAAAGATAACACTTTTCAAAAATTCTCTTAAATTCGCTGTTCTGATTTTAATTTATATGTGAAGCTGTTTTCTAATAATGCAAACAATATGCTATAAAATAAAAAATGCGTTATAAAATAAAAAAAATATTGAGTTTAAATATGTTAAAATAAAATTTTCAACGTTAAAAAGTATATAAATATAAAACGACTTCCAAAAAATGTTGTAAATTATTTTCAAATTATCGAATAGGAATTTTCGTCTGATTATTTTATTTTTTTTATATCATCAGTAGGGCTGGGATTTTAATGCAATTGAATTTTTAGTTCTGATGTCCCAACACATAAGTCACAAGTAACAAAAAGTGATATTGATTAATTTAATGTAGTTTTTATTTTGTATTTTATTATTTATTTAACAAATTTAACTTAAAATGCTTTTTTAGTATTTTGTTATTTTTAGGCATTTTTCAAATTTTTAGAGCATTTTTCAAAATTTATCTATAAATTCTTAAATATTAGATTATTTGATCTTGCATTTGGCATATTCCCACAAAACTTGTATGTTTAGTATGTTATCTACTAAATTGTTAAAATAACAAATAAGAGCAAATCGACTGTGTACTTATTTTATCAAAAGTGTAACGAAATTAAAATAGTTGAAAGAAATTGTTCTAATCACAAAAGTCCAACGATGATCATAACAGCAAGTTATAAAATAAATTAAATTAAAACCAAATTAAATAAAATGAAAATATTATACAAATAGGTATCTATTTATTATTATTTGAAATAAATACAATTAATTATGTAAATATATTTTTATGATTTTTAAGACAATTTTGCATTTTTTTAGAACATTTTTTTGCTATTTTTGTAACATTAAATCTCAGCTCTAACCATCAGTATTCATTACAGCTATAAGATTAAAATTCATTACATATTTATTTCGATATGGCACTAAGTTAATGGTACTTAGAGTCTAAGTAAAAGGCAAATAACTGTGCTTGAAAAAAGTTAAATAAAAATTAATTCTTAGCTGGTTCGAATTAAATAAAATAAATATGAATATAAATAAGTTTAATTTACGAAATTGGTTTAGTAAACAATACGTTTTTGTTATTTCTTTACAGAATTTTGTTTTGAATTTAATACCACGGTGTCTTGATTTACAGTTTTAACGCTTTGATATAATATTCAATCAGTTCAATTTCTTAATATTATAATAAGCGTAGAGCGAACATACTTATATATTTAATAAATATACTTTCTAATTTACAAGTTAATATATTTCAGGATGAATAATAATTGCATTCAATCTGCTACGTACAAAGGAGAAGACGATAAACTTAAGAACATCGAAGACGAATCGCAAACGATTGAAACAGATTCAATGATTTCGAATCATAATGAAATGATGGCTCAGCTTACAACGGAAATCGAGATTCAGCAGGCGACTATTAATACATTATCATCAGAAATAATCGAAATGAAAAGTATCTAATTGTTTAAAGCTCTTAAAACTACAGACAGTGCAGGCGCTATGATTTGCGAGGCCCTGTGCAAATTATAATCGCGAGGCTCTGGATCTGAATATACTACAAAATAGAAGCGCGAGTCCCACGAGCCAATCCAAAAGTGCGAGGCCCTGTGCGATTGCACTTTCTGCACACCCCTAGCGCCGGCACTTACTACAGAAATAATATCCTTTTCTATTGTACTATAATAGTATAACATTATTTTTGCAGTTGATTTTCAAGTTCAGAATATGTTCAAGGACGACGAGTTGTGCAATTTAAGAGATAAGTGTTCAAAGTTCCAAAGTAGAATTAAAGAATTAGAAGGTATGTAACCAAATATAGATTCAGTAAATAATCTATCGAAATCTGTAAGTATACAATGTAAAGTAAAACAATATCAAACAAACTTTCTTTTCAGATAATGCATCAATTGACCAACTGAATATTGATAGCCTTCAAA